AATAAAGAGGGAATAGAATAGAATAGAATAGAGTAGAGTAGAGTAGAATAAAGAGGGAATAGAATAAAATAGGAGAATAGAGTAGAGTAGAATAGAATAGAATAGAATAACAGAGTTGGAAGGGACCTTGGAGGTCTTCTAGTCCAACCCCCCGCTGAGGCAGGAAACCCTATACCACTTCAGACAAATGGCTGTCCAATCTCTTCTTAAAATCTTCCAGTGTTGGAGAATTCACAACTTCTGGAGGCAAGTCGTTCCACTGACTCATTGTCGTAACTGTCAGGAAATTTCTCCTTAGTTCTAGGTTGCTTCTCTCCTTGATTAGTTTCCACCCGTTGCTTCTTGTCCTGCCTTCAGGTGCTTTGGAGAATAGCTTGACTCCCTCTTCTTTGCAGCAGCCCCTGTTAGTTGAGAAGTTAGCCGAGAAGATCCCTCTGCGTGGGCTGTTTAGCAATAAATCAATTTAATCGGACCTTCACGTGTGGACCTGATCTTTTGATACTAACCCACGTTCAGTGTTCGCACCGCTGGTGAAATGATAAACTAAATGAACACGGCAGGCTACGATCTGACCCAGGTGAATTCAAGTCAAATCTAACCAAGCTTAGCGTTGTGTGAGTAACAGCTCTTAGGTCTTTCACTGACCTCTATCAGCAAGTTACACCAACCTCTCCACCCCATTGCGATTCCAATAGATTTAAAAAGAAGTGCCATTTTATACTCCCTAGCTGGAGGCTATTTGGTCTATAAAGCATAAAATTAAAAATGCGGCTGGAGGTGCCCATTTATAGAGCTTCAGTTTATAATGGCCCTGGACATCAGCATAGCTAACTAATAAAAAGGATTTACTGCATTGCAACGTGTGAGTACACCAGAATTCAACACAAAAGATATTGGCCGATGACCACAGACAAGGTGTATTTGGTATATATCCACAACTGTGTTATCCAACTCAGAAGGTTGAGGAATCCATGTTGTCTATAATAAAAAATGAAAGGGCCTTTCCAAAGATTTAATCAGTGATGGAATTCAAATAATTTAACAACCGGTTCTCTGCCCTAATGACCGGCTGGGTGGGCGTGGCCATGGTGGGCGTGGCCAGGGGGTGTGACAGGCAGCATTCGGCCTCCTGCACCCCACTGGGAGCAAAAACGGGCCATGGGGGGGGAAGCAATGCCCTCCGTGCCCCGTTTTGGACCTAGTAGGCCTCCCTGAAGCCTCCTGGGAGCGAAAATGAGCTGCGGGGGGGGGAGGGGAGGGGGGCACCAACCCTCGCACCCTGTTTTGGGCCTAGGCCTCCCTGCACTTACCTGGGAGCCAAAATGGGGCATGTGGAAGGGGCTGGGTGGGGCCAGCCAGCAATTTAACTACTGGTTCGCCCGAACCGGCTCGAACCGGCTGAATCCCACCATTGGATTTTATATTTAAAAAAAGTCTTAAGTAAGGTTTCTCTTTTTTTTAACGGAGTAGGGGAAGATTCTAGATCAGTGATGGCTAACCTTTTTGCCGTCGCATGCCAAAAGTGGGGGGAGCGCGGGGGGTGTTGCACCCATAATTCAATGCAAACCCCCCCCCCCACAACCCCCCCCGCCCCCCCCCCCCCTTTTGGCACGTAATGGCCCGGTGGGCCCGGTAAGCCCATTTTTTCGCCCTCCCCAGGCTCCAGAGGCTTTCTTGGAGACTGGGGAGGGTGAAAACAGCCTTCCCCACCCACCTGGAGGCCCATCGGAGGCTGAAATGGCTCGTTTCCCGACTTCCAGTGGGCCCAGAAGGCCCATAAATCAGCTGGCCGGCGCACACATGCCCACTGGAGCTGAGCTAGGGCAATGCTCACGTGCCCACAGATATGGTGTGCCACAGGTTCGCCATCATGGTTCTAGATTATAATATTCGAAAAGAATGTCTTAATTTTAAATAGCCTTTTGTCTCCTATGGAAGATTCAGAAACAAAAGCTCTCAGGAAGACCACTGTGTCTCAAAACTAAGAAAACTGGAATCTTCTCTTCTGTGAACACGGATCTATTTCGGCTAAACGTTCTGAGACTGGAAAGCCTTACAGCTGGTCCTTGACTTATGACGCCAATTGAGACCCCAAGGTTCGTTGCCAAGCGAGATATTTGTGAAGCGCGTTTCGCCCCATTTTACGACCTTTTCCTTGCCAACGCAGTTTGTGAAGTTACTAACACGGTCGTTAAACGAACCCGACTTCCCCAGCGATTTGGCTGCTCAGAAGGTCGCAAAAGGGGATCACGTGACTCCAGGACACTGCGACCGTCATAAATGTGAACCAGGTGCCGAGCATCCGAATTTTGATCAGGTGATCATGAGGATGTTGTAAGTGTGTGGGGGGGAAAATGGACATAAACCGCTCTTTTTCCCCAGTGCCGTCGTAACTTTGAACGGTCACTAAACAAACTGTTGTAAGTCGAGGACTACCTGTAGTGTATTTGGTTTCTCCATTGATTCTGCTTGTCTGAAGGTCGCAAAAGGTGATCCCATGACTCTAGCACACTGTAACCTTCATAAATACGTGCCAGTTGCTAAGTGTCTGGATTTTGATCATGTGACTATGGGGATGCTGCAATGGTCACGAAGCATGAAAAATGGCCATAAGTCTCTTTTGTTCAGTGGCACCATAACTTTAGAATAGAATAGAATAGAATAGAATAGAATAGAATAGAATAGAATAGAATAGAATAGAATAGAATAGAATAGAATAACAGAGTTGGAAGGGACCTTGGAGGTCTTCTAGTCCAACCCCCTGCTTAGGCAAGAAACCCTACACCACTTCAGACAAATGGTTATCCAACATCTTCTTAAAAACTTCCAGTGTTGGAGCATTCACAACTTCTGGTGGTAAGCTGTTCCACTGGTTAATTGTTCTCACTGTCAGGAAATTTCTCCTTAGTTCTAGGTTGCTTCTCTCCTTGATTAGTTTCCACCCATTGCTTCTTGTCCTGCCCTCAGGTGCTTTGGAGAGTAGATTGGCCCCCTCTTCTTTGGGGCAGCCCCGGAGATATTGGACCACTGCTATTCTGTCATCCAAATGAGCGATCATTATTGGTTCATGGTTGTTACCGGTAATCCTCGACTTACAAGCACAACCAGTGTGAAAACCGATCATAAGTCACTTTTTCCAGTGCCGTTTGAATGGTCTCTAAACGAATTAGTTGTAAGTTGACTGTACCACCTGGAGCCGTGATGGTGCAGTGGCTAGAGTGCAGTACTGCAGGCTACTTCTGCTGACTGCCAGTAGTTTGGCAGTTTGATTCTCACCAGGCTCAAGGTTGACTCAGCCTTCCATCCTTCCGAGGTGGGTCAAATGAGGACCCAGATTGTTGGGGGCAAGAGGCTGACTCTGTAAACCGCTTAGAGAGGGCTGGAAAGCACTGTGAAGCGGTATATAAGTGCTATTGCTATTTATTTCCTTCCTTCCTTCCTTCCTTCCTTCCTTCCTTCCTTCCTTCCTTCCTTCCTTCCTTCCTTCCTTCCTTCCTTCCTCCCTCCCTCTTTCTTTCTTTTTTCCTTCCTCCTTCTCTCCTTCCTTCCCCTTCCTTCCTTCCTTCCTTCCTTCCTTCCTTCCTTTCTGTCATGGTGGCGCAGTGGTTAGAATCCAGCATTGCAGACTGACTCTGCCCACTGCCAGGAGTTCGATCTTGACCGGCTCCAGTTTGACTCAGCCTTCCGTCCTTCCGAGGTGGGTAAAATGAGGAGCCAAATTGTTGGGGGCAAAATACTGACTCTGTAAAGGCCGTAAAGCACCGTGAAGCGGCATAATAAGTCTAACTACTATTGCTATTTTACTGCGTCGGTCCTCCAACAACCTCTTGCAGCCTTGACCTGCATTTCTCCATCGCTGAGGTGGGCTGGCCTGGCCTGGCCAAATGAAACGACATTGGAGGGCCCGTGAAGCCGAGGGGAAGAATCACGGCAAGGAAATGTGTGAGTCGGGGATACGTGAACAACAAACCAAGAATGTAAAAAGAAAAAAAGGATGCACGCATGCTTCATTAATGCCCAACCGATTCCGTTAAACATGCTCTGTCCACCATACACTCTCCACCCGCCGGCGGTCTCTTTCCCAACTACATTTCTTGCCAAACTTTTCCCTTACCGATGGTGCAATGTTCTCCGTTCCAGCCGGGGCTGCATTCACACTTGCCGTCCCGACAGGTCCCGTGTTCGTTGCAGCGCGGGTGACACGCTCGCTGGTCGCAAGCCGCCCCCATCCAGCCCTCTTCGCAGCGGCAGGCTCCCCCAACGCAGGTGCCGTGGACCCCACAGTCGGCCGCGCAGATCTCTGCAGGAGGAGAACATTAAAAAAAAAAAAGGATAAAAAAAAAAAGGAACAGGGGATCAGGTGGAGGGACAGTGGGGTAGAAAAGTAGGGCCTTTGGTAGTACAGTGGTCTAAAGCACCCTGTTATTAACACAGCTGCCTGCAATTACTCCAAGTTCGAATCTCACCAGGCTCAAGGTCGACTCAGCCTTCCATCCTTTCTAAGGTAGGTAAAATTGAGGACCCGGTTTGTGGGGGCAATAAGCTGACTTTGTATAAATATACAAAAGTATGAAGGCTATTGCTTAACGCACTGTAAGCCGCCCTGAGTCTCCGGAGAAGGGCGGCATATAAATCAAATTAAAATAATAAAAAAAAAAGAAAAGGGATCGGGGTGAAAGAGATGACCAGAAGGTCATTGTTACATATATATATATATAAATAAAATAAAATAAGCAAGCCACACTCCACTAACTTATCCTGATGCGGGGGGAAATGAAAGGGATTCTCGTGGCTCCCGAGACTAAATCCCTTTTGACATTAAGAATCTAATAAGCAGATTACAAAGGAGAGGGGAAAAAGGAGATGGACATGGTTTGGTGGGATCCATTGGTGCTTGAAACTCCTTTGTAAAACTTTCTAATACGATCACACACAGACACACACAAATACACCCCCGTGGCTTTGGCCGACCCGGCTGGATCCAAAAGGGCTCTTTCAGAGTTAAAGGAACAAAAGTCACTTTTTAATTAAAAACTAGTTGAGTGTAAAAAAAAAAAAAAAGAACAAAAAAAAAACACCACAACCGGCCGCTTAAATCGCCTGAAAAATAAAGTTAAGTGTCGCCGGCAAAGTCTATTTGCGGTGGGTTATATCGCTCTTGGTTACAGATCTGGGGGCGTTTGGGAACGTTGCTTTTCCTCTTTGTGGGCTGCATTGTGAACTGTTCACAAAAGAGGCTTTATTTGGCCTCCGAAATGTTTGGGAGAGCTTTGAAATGCGGTGTTCTCTCTAGGATACACGCAGGGCACAGGCCTCCGAGAGTACTGCCTGCCTCTGAGAAAGCTGAAGTCAAATTGCACCAGCCAGACGGTGAGCTGCAGAAATGGTGACTGGGAAATCCACAATAGTTTCTGTCTGTCCATCTACCTGCCTACCAATTCAAGAACCATGGAATCCTTCCTTCCTTCTTCCTTCCTTCTTTCCTTTCCTTCCTTCCTTTCTTCCTTCCTTCCTTCCTTCCTTCATCCAATTACTCTCACTCTTCCCTTTCTTTCTTTCTTCCCTTTCCGTCCTTCCTAATTTTCCTTCCTTTTTTTCATGTACTCTCACACTTTCCTTCCTTCCTTCCTTTTATTTACTCTCACTCTTCCCTTTCCTTCCTTCCTACTTTTCCTTCCTTCCTTTCATGTACTCTCACTCTTTCCTTCCTTCCTTTTATTTGCTCTCACTCTTCCCTTCTGTCCTTCCTACTTTTCCTTCCTTCCTTTCATGTACTCTCACACTTTCCTTCCTTCCTTCCTTTTATTTACTCTCACTCTTCCCTTCCTTCCTCCCTACTTTTCCTTCCTTCCTTTCATGTACTCTCACACTTTCCTTCCTTCCTTCCTTTTATTTATCTCACTCTTCCCTTTCCTTCCTCCCTACTTTTCCTTCCTTCCTTTCATGTACTCTCACACTTTCCTTCCTTCCTTCCTTTTATTTACTCTCACACTCTTCCCTTTCTTCCTCCTACTTTTCCTTCCTTCTTTTCATGTACTCTCACTCTTTCCTTCCTTCCTTTTATTTACTCTCACTCTTCCCTTTCTGTCCTTCCTACTTTTCCTTCCTTCCTTTCATGTACTCTCACACTTTCCTTCCTTCCTTCCTTTTATTTACTCTCACTCTTCCCTTTCCTTCCTCCCTACTTTTCCTTCCTTCTTTTCATGTACTCTCACTCTTTCCTTCCTTCCTTTTATTTACTCTCACTCTTCCCTTTCTGTCCTTCCTACTTTTCCTTCCTTCCTTTCATGTACTCTCACACTTTCCTTCCTTCCTTCCTTTTATTTACTCTCACTCTTCCCTTTCCGTCCTTTCTACTTTTCCTTCCTTCCTTTCATGTACTCTCACTCTTTCCTTCCTTCCTTTTATTTGCTCTCACTCTTCCCTTTCTGTCCTTCCTACTTTTCCTTCCTTCCTTTCATGTACTCTCACTCTTTCCTTCCTTCCTTCCTTTTATTTACTCTCACTCTTCCCTTTCCTTCCTTAATACTTTTCCTTCCTTTCATGTACTCTCACTCTTTCCTTCCTTCCTTCCTCTCACTCTCCTCCCTTCCTTCTTTCCTGAGTTTTTGTTCTATTCAGGAAAAAACAAAAAACCCATTCTATAAAGCTGAAGCATTTTAGGAAGGACAGAGAAGATTTACCTATTTATTGATGTACATATTTCTTTATTTGTCTTTCAAATTTCTAATCCCCTCCTCCCCACAACTCCAAATCATTCTGGTTGGTTTGTCATATAGAAGAGTTATAAGATCCAACAATAAACCCCTACAAATAATGTCAGCCAGAAGGAACAGATAGATAGATAATATAAATGATTGATAGATGATAAATGGATGGATGGATGGAGGCAGTGGTGGGATTCAAGTAATTTAACAACCGGTTCTCTGCCCTAATGATTTCTTCTAACAACCAGTTTGCCAAACTGCTCAGAAAGTTAACAACCGGTTCTCCCGAAGTGGTGCGAACTGGCTAAATCCCATCACTGGATGGATGGATAAATATAGATGGATGGATGGAGGGAAGGAGGGTGGGAGGGAGAGAGGGATAAGGATAGGAATGGATATAGATGATAGATAGATAGATTAGATAGATAGATAGATAGATAGATAGATAGATAGATAGATAGATAGATAGATAGATAGATAGATAGATAGATTAGATAGATAGATAGATAGATAGATAGATAGATAGATAGATAGATGATAGATGGATAGATGGATAGATGATAGATGGATAGGGATGGATATAGATGATAGATAGATAGATTATAGATAGATGGATGGATAGGGATGGATATAGATGATAGATGATAGATAGATGATAGATAGATAGATAGATAGATAGATAGATAGATAGATAGATAGATAGATGATAGATAGATAGATAGATAGATAGATAGATAGATAGATAGATAGATGGATGGGGATGGATATACTGTAGATGATAAATAGATAGGGATGGATAGAGAGAGAGAGAGAGAGAGACAGACAGACAGAGAGAGAGAGACAAACAGATGGACAGACGGGGAAAGATGGATGATGAGAGAGAGAGAGAGAGATGAGTAGGTGGATAGGTGGATGAGAGGAAGGAAGGGAGGGAGGAAGGAAGGAAGGAAGGATTCCATGGCTCTTGACTTCATAGATAGATGGACAGACAAAAACTGTTGTGGATTTGTCACTGAAGGAGTCCTAATACAGTGATTCAATCCAGTCTGGTGGTCACTTCTCTTTTAAGTCATGAAACTGTAAGGTTCATGGAGACATTGGCCTTCCTAATTTTAGGGAGGATGCTGAAAGGCCTGGAGGGGGTGTTGGAGAATGAAATCAGTGATCACATGACCCCGGGACACTGCAACCGTCATAAATATGTGATTCACTTAACAACCATTGCAAAGAAGTCATAAAATCAGCTACGTCTTACTTAACAACTGCAATGGAAATTCTAGCCCTAATTGTGGACGTTAAGTCAGGGACTTCCTGTATTTAACCACCCAGATTCAAAGTTATGATTACGATTCGGTTATTACGGCCGTAAGTCGAGAACTACCTGTGATTTCCAGAAAACTTTCAGATGCTCTTATCTTTTTGTTCCCGAATGCTGCTATTCTTTGTCATCATGGTGGACTTTAAAGGGGACAAAATACCTCAGCTCAACCTTACAACTTTATTTTAAAGCTTTGCGAGAGGTTGAAGAGGGATACAGATAAACAGAGTTGGAAGGGACCTTGTGGGTCATCTAGATCAACCCCCCATCCAAGCAGGAGACCCTACACCATCTCTGACCGATGGCAGTCCAGTCTCTTCTTGAAAGCCTCCAGTGATGAACTTCTGAAGGCAATTTCCATTCCATGGATTGATCGTTCTCACTGTTAAGACAATTTCTCCTTATTTCCAGGATTATTCCTTATTATTGAATCTCTCCTTGTTCAGTTTCCATCCATTATTCCTTGTTTGACCTTTGGGTGCTTTGGAAAATAGGTTGACCCCCTTCCTCCTCTCTGTGGCAGCCCCTCAAATAATATTGGAAGATGCTCTCATGTCTCCCCTGGTCCTTCTCTTCACTAGACTAGCCATGCCCGGTTCCTGCAACCGTTCTTACAGGATGATTAATATTTTTCGCACAGTGCGAAAATTAGCATCCTAAACTCCATGCCTATAATTGTGAGTGGATGTTATTTTTGAATGCAGACAATTTCTCTGGAGGCTGGTCCTTCCTCGTAAATTAATGTGCACACTATTTCTTCACTCCCGTGTATGACAAATTACCCCTAACCCAGTGGTGAAATCCAAATTATTTTACTACCGGTTCTGTGAACGTGGCTTGGTGGGTGTGGTGTGGCTTGGTGGGCGTAGCAGGGAAAAGGATACTGCAAAATCTCCATTCCCACCCACCCCACTCCAGGAGAAGGATACTGCAAAATCCCCATTTTGGGGCCAGCCAGAGGTGGTGTTTGCCAGTTCTTCAAACTACTTAAAATTTCCGCTACCGGTTCGCCAGAACCTGCTGGATTTCACTCCTGCCCTAACCTACCCGAGGTCACAAATCAAAACATCGCCTTTTCCCCGCTCTGCATTTGCAACAATCACCGACACCCCTGCTCGCTTTTCGTGAGCCACACACAATTACACCCAACCCTTGTGCTCTTCAGACTTCATCCTTCATGGAGCTACTTCTGAGGTTAACATTATTATTGTTTTGTGCCTCCTGGCCAAAAGCCTCCGCTAAGGTGATTGGTAAACTCTCCCTCATTTCTCCAAGTCAACTTCAAACTCCGAAAGATGAATTTGTGTGCTATTTCACTAAAAAGGTAAATTCGCCTTCGGGTCAAACCTGAACGAGCGCTTGAATAACGTTTCTTGCCGCCATAAGAGAAACGAGTTGGTTGCTTTGTTGTTTGGGATTTTTTTTTTTAAAAAAGCTTCTTTTTAGCGTCCGTAAAAACATACAAAGGTGTCCTGAGCTCCATGAACACGATAAACCCTCTGAAGTGAACTCAAAATATTCCTTTATTAGGAGGCCCAGCAGCCCCGGCAAAAAGTTCCTCTCTAACAAGGCCGTCCGGCTGGAAGACGAGTAATTGTCTGCCACATCTATTCATCTCCGCCCCCTGCCTTTTATCCCCAGAGCTAGGGTGGGGCTTCGCTAGTAGCAGTTGCTCTTCCATCCCAAGGACCGGCTCATAGATTTCCACTGCTCTCCTCTCCTCTTCCATCTGTGCATCCGTGCATCAGGCACTGGACCCAGCTGTTCCTCCTCTTCCTCATCAGCCACCTCCAGACCTGGGGGCTGTTGACTCCATCTGAGGGCTGATGGATGGCCCAGGCTCCGCCTCTCTCTCTCTCTCTCTGCCGTAACCCTAACCCTAACCCTAACCCTAACCCCTTCCCCCTTGGAGCTCTCAGGTTGCCTTGATGCTGATCCTGACTCCCATGCCTCCTCTTCCTCATCTGTTTCAGCTGCTGGAAGGGCTGGCGGCCGACAGGTCACAACCCTTTCTTTCTTTCTTTCTTTCTTTCTTTCTTTCTTTCTTTCTTTCTTTCTTTCTTTCTTTCTTTCTTTCTTTCTTTCTTTCTCTCTCTCTCTCTCTCTCTCTCTCTCTCTCTCTCTCTCTCTCTCTCTCTCTCTCTCTTTCTTTCTTTCTTTTTTTCTTTACCAGTTCCATTCCCTCTTCCCCCTCGGAGCTCTCAGGTTGCCTTGATGCTGACCCTGACTCCCACACCCACTCCTCTTCCTCTGATTCGGTTGATGGAGGGGCCGGCGGACGACGGGCCACAACAAAAGGTGACAGAAGAAAAAGACCTAGTGGCCCATCGAGTTTTTTTTTATCATTTTAATTTTTGTTGGATGATGGACGTGTATTTATCCCAAGCAAACCAATTTCGGTTGCTAAGCGGGACAGTTCTTAAGTGAGTTTTGCCCCCACTTTACAACTTTTCTTGCCACGGTTGTTAAGTGAATCACAGCAATTGTAATCTGGTTGTTAAGTGAACCTGCCTTCCCTGTTGACTTTGCTCGTCGGGAGGTCGCAAAGGATGATTGCATAACCCCGGGATGCTGCAACCGTCATAAATAGGAACCCGTTGCCAAGCGTCTGAATTTTGATGACGTGACCCCTGGGGATGCTACAACGGTTGTTGTGAAAAAATGGTCATAAGGCGCTTCTTTCGGTGCCACTGGAACTTCGAACAGTCACTAAACAGAACGTTGTAAGTTGAGGACTACTTGTACGGATGACTGAGCCACTACCTCCGCTGGAAGTTGGTTCCGAACTTCCACCTTACTCTTCCTGTGAAGGAATATTTTCTGACGTGACTTTTGAATGTCCCTCCTGTCGGTTTGAGGTTATGGCCCCGTCTTCTTGATTTTGGCTTCATGTTGAAAATATTGCCTTCTAGAACCCTATTCACATCCTTCATATGTTTAAAGGTTTCAATCGTGTCCTGCCTTTTCCTTCTGTCCTCCAGAAGGGTTAGTCCAGGGGTGTCAAACCAGGGGTGAAATCCAGCAGGTTCTGAGAGGCTCTGGAGAACCGGTAGTGGAAATTTTGAGTAGTTCGGAGAACCGGCAAATACCACTTCTGGCTGGCCCCAGAGTTAGGTGGGAATGGAGATTTTGCAGTATCCTTCCCCTGCCACGCCCACCAAGCCACCAAGCCACGCCCACAGAACCAGTAGTAAAAAAATTTGGATTTCATCACTGTGTCAAACTCAAGGCTCGCAGGCCAGATCTGGCCCATGGGGTGCTTAGATCTGGCTGATAGTGTTGTGGCTCCGATCCCCGAGCCCATCTTATCGGAGGAAGAAGGCTCCGAACATGAAGGAGAGGAGCCGGCCAGGCCTCCCTCTCCAGGCCCCTCCTCTCTGGCAATGCCTCAGGTGTCTGCCGAGGGAGAGGAGATTGACCAGGAGCCAGGTGTCTTCGATGACAGCGATGAGGGTGATAAGTCGTTCCTGGATCCACGCCAACGAAGGTGAGATAAACGTTTGTAGCAGATGAGGAGGCGTGCCAGGGATTAAGCTGAGTCATTGGACCACACCCCACAGGCTATATAAGAGAGTGTGGTGGCCATTTAGACTCTGTGACGGACAAAGCTAACTTCTGGCTAGTCACTTTGTACAACGCCTGAATCTGCTGAAGGTTTCATGTTTGAGCTGGACTGTTTTTGAAAACTGTGTGTATTTGTTGGTGATTATCTGGTGGAGGAACACTCCCTCTTCTTGAAGTAAAGCACTTGGCAGACGGTTATCGTATTGCTGCCAAGTTCCTGATAACGAACCTTGTGTGTGCCAAGTAATTCTTTAACCCCCGGCTGGCTGTTTGTGTGTGTGTGGGGACAGGGACAAAACAGATAGGGCTGTCCTGGAAACAGTGAAAGTGTGGCCTGTGGTGCCTCTGCTAGCGAAAACGGAGCTCATGGTGACCGTGCGCGGGCCTCCTGAGCTCCATTTTCGGCCACGACAGCTTCCTGTAGCCCTCTGCCAGCAAAAATGGAGCTGGGGGGGGGCTCCGTTTTCACCGGCAGAGGGCTGCAGGAGGCTGTCGTGGCCGAAAACGGAGCTCAGGAGGGCCACACGCTAGCGGAGGGTTGCAGGAGGCCATTGCAGCCGAAAACGGAGCTCAGGAGCCTGTTTTCACTGGCAGAGCACTCGGGCCACAGACACCCCCCAATACCAGTGACATGAAGCTGGCCATGCCCACCTTGGTCCCCCGAGGTCAAACACAACCCTGATGTGGCCCTCAATGAAATCGAGTTTGACACCTCTGGGTTAGTGAGTCAACTTTGATCTGATCGGGATCAAACCCCTGGCAGTGGACAGAGCTTGCCTGCAGTACTGTATGGCAGCCACTGCCGCCCCCTAGACAAAATTTAAGAAAACAGCCACTTGCAATTCATATCCGCAACTTGGGTGTCCTCCTGGATTCTCGGCTGTCCTTAGAGGACCATCTGACGGCCGTAACCAGGGGGGCCTTCGCACAGGTGCATCTTGTGCGCCAGTTGCGCCTTTTTCTAGACCGGGATGCCCTCGCCACGGTCACTCATGCCCTCATTACCTCTAGGTTGGACTACTGTAACACCCTCTACATGGGGCTGCCCTTGGGATGCGTCCGGAGGCTCCAGCTAGTCCAGAACGCAGCCGCGCGGGTAGTTACGGGGGCGTCTAGATACTCCCGTGTAACACCTCTCCTGCGTGAGCTGCACTGGCTGCCGGTGGCGCTCCGGATACATTTCAAGGTGCTGGTGCTCACCTATAAAGCCCTTCATGGCTTAGGCCCGGGATACTTGCAGGACCGTCTCCAGCCGCTCTCCCACCGTCCTGTGCGCTCTCACAAAGTCGGCCTCCTCAGGGTGCCATCGGCCAAACAATGTCGGCTGACGGCCCCCAGGAGGAGGGCGTTCTCTGTGGGAGTCCCGACCCTCTGGAATGGATTGCCCACCGAGCTCAGGATAGCCCCTGACCTTCTTTCCTTCCGTCGCGAGCTGAAGACGTGGCTCTTTCGTCAACTCAACTGATCTCTTTGGGGGTACACTGCCATAATTTTAAACTGTTTTTAATAGGGTTGTTGATTTTAATTATTTCATTGTGATTTGTATTGGAATTTGTCATTTTGTAAGCCGCCTTGTGTCCCTAGGGAGAAAGGCGGCATATAAATCGCAATAATAAATAAAATAAATAAATATCCATTTCATCCCAAACGTGGATCACAACAGACCTGCCTTGTGGGAACTCAGGATCGGGGAGATCTAGAAGATCGTAGACGATCATTCTACAACCACATTGACATGCAAAGGTTCAACGAAAGTAAATTGATAGGTGCAATTACCTGTGGAACAGTCGTGCCCAGTCCAGTTGGGATCACAAGTGCAGAGACTGGTTTCAGACAGAAAAGTTCCGTGGCCCGAACACTGATCCAGACAAGTGGCTCTTGGGGTCTCACAGTTGGCCCCTCCCCAGCCCACGGAGCAGTGGCATTCTCCTCTCACACAGACGCCACGTCCTGAGCAGGTGGGGTCCATACAGTCCACTGCAAAGCAAGGAAGAGAAAACGTAGAAACATGAATTAGAATTCTTTATTGGCCAAGTGTGATTGGGCACACAAGGAATTTTTCTCCGGTGCATAAGCTCTCAGTGTACATCCAAGTTTCTGTAATTTAGAATAGAGAATAGAGAGTAGAGTAGAGTAGAGTAGAGTAGAGTAGAGTAGAGTAGAGTAGAGTAGAACAGAACAGAACAGAACAGAACAGAACAGAATAGAATTCTTTATTGGCCAAGTGTGATTGGGCACACAAGGAATTTGTCTCCGGTGCATAAGCTCTCAGTGTACATACAAGCAACAAGTGATAAATCATGATTATAACCATAAAATCATAAATCTTATGATTTATGAACTTCATCATAAATCGTAAGATACAACACTCAGCAATAGCCATAGGATACTAAATAAGCAATCAACATAAATCATACTAGGGTATTAAATACAGGCGGTGCTCAACTTACGACCACAGTTGAATGGAAAAGTTCATGTCGTTAAGTGAGAAATTTGTTAAGTGAGTTTGCTCTATCTACGACTTTTCTTGCCACATTTGTCAAGTGAATCACTGCAGGAAAAAAATGAAGGAAGAAAGTAAAGGTAGAAAGGAATGAAGAGAAGGGAAGGGAAGGAAAGGAAAGAGGAAGGGAAAAAGGGGGGGAAATGAAGGAAGAAAGTAAAGGTAGAAAGGAATGGAAGGGAAGAGAAGAGAAGGGAAGGGAAGGAAAGGAAAGGAAAGAAGAACGATGGGAAAAAAGGGAAAAAATGAAGGAAGAAAGTAAAGGTAGAAAGGAATGGAAGGCGGGGAAGGACAGGACAGGACAGGACAGGACAGGACAGGACAGGACAGGACAGGACAGGGAAAGGAGCAAGCCGGGGTTGCATAGTAGTTAGAATGCAGAACTGCAAACTAATTCAGCTCACTGCCAGGAGTTCGATCCTGACCGGCTCAAGGTTAACTCAGCCTTCCATCCTTCCGAGGTGGGTAAAATGAAGACCCAGATTGTTGAGGGCAATACGCTGACTCTCTAAACCGCTCAGAGAGGGCTGGAAAGTACTGCGAAGCGGTATATAAGTCTAAGTGCTGTTGCTATTGCTTTCCTTCTGCAGATGGGCCGTTGAGGCTCTCCGGAGAGGCATGGAGAGGTATCATTAATGTGCCAACTATCTCTTCCCCTCTCTTAGGCCATCGGCGAGGCAAGGAGGCTGGCTTTATCAATCTCTGGCACTATGAACGTGTGAACGGGGAGGGCATCCATTTAGAGGCCTAGCAGCTTCCCCCCCCTTTCCCTCCCCCCCTCCCAAAATCAAGGAGCAAAGAGGGAAAAAGAGTTGGAAGCGAACTGCCGGTCCCCGAAGTGCTTAGCAGATGGTTCAGTCGTGGAGAACAAAGATTGCGGGATAAGTGACAAGGGGCTACCGTGAGGCAATTAATCATTCCCGCCGAAGAAGGCCCACGGAGGGGAAAAGGGAGTTGTGAGAGGGTCTCCATCACAGAAGGCAGAACGCTCTGCTAGCTCAGCGTTAACGCGGGACCGGAGGAGAGGGAGGCGTGTGCAGGTTAGGACACGCCATTCATCATAAAGCCAGGGCCATTTTTCATGTCCAAACGAGCCTTTTCACGAGGCGGCCTGTACAACAATGGCGGCTTTAATTCTTGCCCTTGCTGGCTCCGATTGCTTAGACACTCTGCACCTTGGCAAGGGTTCTGAGATCTCTCTCCCTCCATCCATCATCTATCTCTCTATCTCTCTATCTCTCTATCTCTCTATCTATCTATCTATCTATCTATCTATCTATCTATCTATCATCTATATCTATCTATCGTCTATCATCTCTATCATCTATCTAGCTCTATCTATCTATCATCTATCTCTCTATCCATCCATCTACATCCATCTAACAATCTTTTTTCTTTCTTTCTTTTCCCTCCTTCCTTCCCCTGCCTTCCTTCTTTCCCTCCTGTTCCATTTTCTTTCCTTCTTTTTCTTTCATTCCTTCCCTTTCTTTCCTTCTTTCTTTCCCTCTCTTTCTTTCCTTCCCTCTTCCTTTTTCCTTCCTTCCTATTCCTTCTTTTCCTTTCCTAACTTATTTTCTTTCTTTCTTTCTTTCTTTCTTTCTTTCTTTCTTTCTTTCTTTCTTTTTTCTTTCTTTCCTGTTCCATTTTTTTTCTTTCCTTCTTTTTCCTTCCTTCCCTTTCTGTTTCCTTTATTCCTTCCTTCTTTCCCTCTTTCTTTCTCTATCTTTCCTTCTTTCCTTCCTTCCTTCCTTTCTTTCTTTCTTTCCTCTTCCTACCTTCCTCTTTTCCTTCCTTTCTTCCCTGTTCTCTTCTCTGCTCCCCTCTTCCTTCCTTCCTTCCTTTCCATTCCTTCCTTTTCTTTCCTAACTACTTACTACTTGCCTTTTTCCTTCCTTCCTTCCTTCCTTCCTTCCTTCCTTCCTTCCTTCCTTCCTTCCTTCCTTCCTTCCTTCCTTCCTCCTTCCCTCCCTCCCTCCCTCCCTCCCTTCCCTCCTTCTCATTCTTTTCTTTGTTGCAAATACTTTCATCTCTCCCTCCCTCCCTCCCTCCCACTCTCTGTGGTTCTCTCCACCTTTTTCTTCAAAGAGAATAATATACTTCAAAATCCTGCTACTGAGCTTCATGGCTCAGCCCTGAAAGACCCAATTTTTGGACTTCTTTCCCTGAATGGATGATGGTGGTGCCGAACAGCAGAAGCTATGGCCATTGGCACAATCCACTGGGAATATATGAGTGCCAAGCCAACTAAATTGAATGGGGGCTCCTAAAACTTCTTGTGGCTTTTATTCATTGTGGGAATGGCGCTGAAGAATCACCCAAGAATGGGGCTCTAAATTTGCAGCATCAGACAGACCTCTAAGGATGGGTAAAAGCCAATGGAAAGGATGTCAGGAACAAAAACACTTTTTATTTCAGGGGCAAAAAAAAAAAGACAAATCAGGAGGAACATGACTAAACTTCCTAAAACTGAGGTGAGAGTGGGCACAGCAAGCTTTTATTCTTGATCACAAAATCCAGACAATTCGGACAGCCAAAACAGATAATAATTTAAGTAGGCCCTGAAGTACAGAACGGAACTGGACAATATATAAATTTGTCTTTACGCAAAGAGAGTGCAAAATAATGGCTGGTGATTTGCGCGCGGGCAAAAAGGGGAACCAGGTTTCAGCATCTGTCCAAAACTACAGTCGTGGCCAAAATTGTGGAAACCTTTTGGGAAAAGTGTTTTTTCTAAAACTAGCTAATAACACCACTTTTTTTTTTTTTGGAGTAGTACCATACAATTATATATCAATGGAAAGATAATTTAATCACGAATGTAATGCAATACCTTTTATGAAGGATTTGCTATTAGAATAGCAGTGACAGTATAAAGAAGAAAAGTGGAACACGTAGAAAAAACGAGATACACAAAAATGATCACCATAGAGAAAATGAGATATACAAAAATGATCACTATGTCAGTTAATACTTAGTTCGGTAACTTTTAGCATGAATGACGGCCTTACAACGTCTTCCCATGGAGTGAACCAAGTCTTTTTGTTCCGCAGCTGTTCTAATGTGAAACCAAGATTGAATGATTGCTTCTATTAACTGGGTTTTAGTGCTGGGTTGCTTCTGACTAACCAGTTTCTTTAGTCGGCTCCATAGATTTTCCATTGGGTTAAGATCTGGGCTATTCCCAGGCCATTCCAGCAGTGGAATAGGATTATCTTGAAACTCCCCCCCAAAAAAAGTGATGTTATTAGCCATCAAACTGCAAAAATACACTTTCCCCAAAAGGTTTCCATAATTTTGGCCACTATTGTATGATCTAACTCAGGGGTGTCCAACATTTGCAACTTTAAGACTTTTACGAAGTATCCCAGGATAATGTTGCAGGATCTAATTTGGGTCGGTCAAAGGTTTTTGTCTTCCGAGCTTTTGGAAGCCTATCTTCAGGGAACTTCTCTCTCATCAGAGTGTGCGTTTTGCGTTGTTCTGTGTGTGCTAATGCCTGTTGTGTGTGGCTTTTTAGTTGTTGACTGGCTGGGCAATTAAGATAGGGTTTGGGTGCAACAAAGACAGTGCCTTCAAAATTTCAAGAAAGAGACTTCTGGCTCATTCAGGTTTTGTTTTTACAAATACGAGCCAAGGGAGGGGAAAACTCACAGCGCGATTAATAGTTTTAAAAACTTAATATTGCAGAAAATGAATAGTTGCCCCATAAAACTTGGAAACATGCTGAATTAATAAAAAGATGGGAATCTTTATTCTCTGTCCCTCCTCCAAAGGAAAAAAAAAAACGTAACGTTGGTAAAATATTTTGAAATCAACATTACGGAAGGATTTAGAGAAAGGCAGACTTGAATAAATGTTCCGTGCAGCGGTCTTTATGCACTCTTTTCGCATTCATTTCCTCTTAGGGGAACAGCTCTTACACCTAGTGTAAAAGATTCAAGCACAGTGGGAAAGATACTTCAGTCAACAAGTTGTGTGGAAAAGCTTCGCTTTACTTCTTTGCCTGCTTTTCTTTCAAAAAAACTGGGCTGCCGGCCAATGAAAGTTGGGTTTCTATTTATTTAAAGCTCTCGACTCGGCTTGTATTGCCTCAAGAGACTTACCAAGCAATATAGCCTTAAGAGACGTACCGAGAAATAAGACATGTAAATAAAATTATAGCAAAACCAGGAAAGAATCGTAATTAAGTTCAGGATCCTAAGTGCCTTTTTAAAAAAAACTAATGATAGATGATGCAGCAGAAAACATACTTTTTGCCAATCCTCGTGAAATGGGGTTGAAAAATACTTCCATAAATCGGTAAAGCTAAAGGTTCCCCTTGCACATATGTGCTAGTCGTTCCCGACTTTAGGAGGTGGTGCTCATCTCTGTTTCAAAGCCGAAGAGCCAGCGCTGTTCGAAGACGTCTCCGTGGTCATGTGGCCGGCATGACTCAATGCCAAAGGCGCACGGAACGCTGTTACCTTCCATCAAAGGTGGTCCCTATTTTTCTACTTGCATTTTTTACCTGCTTTCGAACTGCTAGGTTGGCAGAAGCTGGGACAAGGAACGGAAGCTCACCCAGTTATGTGGCACTAGGGATTCGAACCGCTGAACTGCCGACCTTTCGATTAACAAGCTCAGCGACTTAGCCACTGAGCCACCGCATCCCTTCAATACCATTAGTGGTATGCAGCCTCTAATACAGGAGTGTCAAACTCAATTTCATTGAGGGCTGCCTCAGGGTTGTGTTTGACCTTGGAGGGCCGGTGTGTGTGTGTGTGTGTGTGTGTGTGTGTGTGTGTGTGTGTGTCTGAGGTGGGCGTGGCCATGGTGGGGCTGACTGGGGTGGGGGTGGCCATGATGGCGGTTTGACACAGGCTCAAGATGCATTTTTCCCCCCTTCTCTTCTTCCTTTCCACAGTTCTTTACTATAACCATTTTCCTATCTCTCCTACCAGAATATCACTGGCAAACATTTATTACTTATTCTTCATACTCCACTAAACTTTTTATTTCTAAATTTATACCCCATTGTTTAATAGTAAATTGCTTTTCCGGGCAGAAAAGCTATTTATACCACTGTATTTTTATTATTCGGCTAATCATAAAAATACAATGGCATAAAGAAGATGATAATACAAGATCTAACAGCAGAGGTAAATTTCCAGTATAGTAAATAGAAATGGCTGTCAATTGTGGATGGTTGATGGTAGATTAAATGGACCTACAGTATGTAAAGTCTGGCATTAAACTGTAGTATTAACATAGGATGTTACTTGTTTTCACATACTTGAGGCCGCATAATAGTAATCCAGTCGTCCTGCAGCACTCTGCCGGCTGAAAACGGGCCCCATTCGGCCGGCAGAGTGCTGCTGGAGGCCGGGGAGACCGAAAATAAAACGACATGCAAGAAAACCACCAAGCTCAAAGAGCACCAAGGATTCTTCATGTCAACTCTATCCAGGGGTGGGCTGCTGCGGTTTCGCAGGGGTTCGGGAGAACCTCTAGCTAAGATTCTGTGCAGTTCGGAGAACGCCCAAATCCCACTCCGGGCTGGCCCCGCCCACCCCTCCCCTCCCCGGAATCCCCACGCAGCCCATTTTGGATGCAAGCAAGTGCAGGGCGCGTGCAGAGGCTCAGGGAGGGCGAAAAACGGGCCTACTGGAAGTTCGTGAAGGCCGGAAATAGGCCCGTTTCCGGCCTCCTAAGGGCCTCTGGAGTCTGCGGAGGCCATTTTCACCCTCCCGGAGACTCAAGGAAAGCCTCCGGAGCCCGGGAAGGGCAAAAACGCCAACCCACCATGGTGCAGGAGGCCGACTAGGCCATGCCCACCATGGCCACGACACCCAGCAACTGAGGAGAGAACCCCTTGCTAAAATTTTTGAAGCCCACCCCTGTCTAATCCATAGGTTTTAATTTTACTGCAAGGGACTCTGGGCTAGTCATCTGCAAAAAGAAAAGAAAAGAAAATGCTTTCAGATACCCTTAAAAAAAGAAAAACCTGGTTGGTTTATCCTAAAGGAGAAATAATGGCAGATAGATGAGGGAGCTATTTCAGGCTGCCTTAAAAGCTTCTCTTTGGCAAAAGCTGCTGGCTGAGAAGGAAAGAGATGGGATTGATTGATTATTCATATCCATATCTCATCTACTTCGGTCTCTCGGTATTCGGGGGGGGGGGTGTTTGTGTAACTTCGGTGAGGCTACGCCGGCAGGATTGATGTGTGTTATCGTGTCTCGTGGGATGCCCTTAAAAAAAATAAAAATAAATGAAAAATGCTGCTATCCCACACAAGGTTAGACACACTTAAGTTCATCGATTACGTCTAATGCTGGTTACAATGGGGACTGGAGTAATTGGGGCATCCATAATTTTGATGAAGAGGGAAAAGGTGTGTGTGGGGGGAGGGTTGCCAGGTGTTTCAGGAGCAACACTACACAGCCAGAAGTGGTGTAAAAGGAAGGCATCGCAACAACATGGTGGAGCGGTGTAAAATCACAGGATCGCCTCTGGCATCCTCAGATAAGAAAGGAAAAGAAAAAAAGGGGAAAAGAAAGTGTAGTGTAGTATAGGGTACATAGGTTATGATAGAATAGAAAATAGAATAGATTAGAACAGAACAGAATAGGTATACAGGAGAGAAGAAGAAGAAAGAAAAGAGAGGAGAGGAAGAAAGGAGAGGAGAGAAAGGAATGAGAGGAGAGGAAGAAAGGAGAGGAAAGGAGAAGAGAGGAGAGGAAGAAAGAGGGGAGAGGAAGAAAGAAAAGAGGGGAGAGGAAAGGAGAAAAGGAGAGGAGAGGAAGAAAGAAAGGAGAGGAGAGGAGAGGAAGAAAAGAGAGGAGAGGAGAGGAAGAAAGGAGAGGAGAGGAGAGGAGAGGAAAAAAGGAGAGGAGAGGAAGAAAGGAGAGGAGAGGAGAAGAAAAGAGGGAGAGGAAGAAAGAAAAGAGGGGAGAGGAAAGGAGAAAAGAGAGGAGAGGAGAGGAAGAAGAAAGAGGAGAGGAGAGGAAGAAAGGAGGGGAGAGGAAGAGAGGAAAGGAGAGGAAAAAAGGAGAGGAGAGGAGAAAGGAGAGGAGAGGAAGAAAGAAAAGAGAGGAGAGGGGATGAGAGGAAGAAAGGAGGAGAGGAGGGAAAGAAAGGAGAGGAGAGGAAGAAAGGAGAGGAGAAGAGAAGAGGTATACAGGACAGAACAGAACAGGATAGAATAGGAATACAGGAAAGGAAGGAGGAAGGAAGGAAGGAAGGAAGGAAGGAAGGAAGGAAGGAAGGAGGAGAGGAGGAAGGAAAGAAAGAAGAAAGAAAGAAGGAAGGATTTCTGACACTTCCTGCCAGATTCCCATCAGCAAATTCAATGGGGAAGCCTGCAGGAAATCGGAGGTTGCTCCTACTTCAATTGTTTTTTCGACCACCTTCGCTCCTTCTGTTCCTCTGTTTGGTCTGAAACGATGACCGTACTGGCTGGGGAATTCTGGGAGTTGTCATCTACCCATCTTAAAGTTGTCACGGTTGAGACACACTGCTCTAGGAGGTCACCGCTTGGTAGATCCTCTCTCCAAAACGCCCATCAGCACCAACCATACCAAGTAAATCGGACAAACGTCCGGCATTCTGAAATTTATCCAGCTGTGGGGAAAGTACCGACGGAATCTTAAAGGAAATTACCTTCCTCACAACTCTCTCCCTTGTAGCCGGGTTGCAAATACAGGTTCCCATGATGCACGTCCCGTGGCTGTTGCAAGAGACGTCGACGCACTGATTGGTGGGGACGTCGCACTCGGCTCCTTTCCACCCACTGTGACATAAACAACGTCCTTTCATGTACTGTCCGTTCCCACTGCACAACACTGGGCAAGACGCTGAGAAGGAAGACGACGCAAAAAAAAAGAAGGGTCATTAGAAGCACGATAAGGTTTGTTGACAGCTTGAGGCGATCCCCGAGATCAGATACAACGGAAGGGAATTTAAAATGGACTATAGGTAGTTCCTCAAATTAGACCATTCGAATGGAGCCTAAGATTTCTGTTGCTAAGTGAAACATTCATTGCATGAATTTTGCCTCATTTTACGACCTTTCTTGCCACGCTTGTTAAGCGAATCACTGTTATGTTAGTAACATGGTTGTTAGGCGAGTCTGGCTTCCCCACTTACTTTGCTTGTCAAAAGGTCGCAAAAACAGTCTTAAAAATCTCCAGTGATGAAGCACCCACAACTTCTGGTGGCAAGCTGTTCCATTGGTTAATTGTCCTCACTGCTAGGAAGTTTCTAACAGTGGCTTAAATTGGTTTAAGCCTGAGAGGGAGATAACCTCTCAGGCTTAAGCCAAGGATAGGAGATGCTTAGAGGCCACTTTATGAATGGCTGAGGCCTGAGGTCACTGGCATTGCTATTGTCAGAACAGACAATGCTTTTGATGGTGATTAACCTCCCTGTTTGCACATATGTGGTAGCCAAAAAAAGAAGGAGAAGGGGAAATGGAGGAGAAATGGTGAGGCTGGGGAATTCTGGGAACTGAAATCCAGACAGCTTAAAATGACCAAGGAACTTTAAGGAACTCTGATAGCAATAGCACTTTGACTTATATATAGTTTTATAGTGCTTTATAGCGGTTTACAGAATTGGTATATTTTCTCCAACATCTGGGTCTTCAATTTACCAACTTTGGAAGGATGGAAGACTGTGTTAACCTTGAGCCAGTCAGGATCGAACTGCTGGCAGTTGGCAGAATTAGCCTGCAATACTGCACTCTGACCACTGTGCCACCATGGCTTTGATACTAAACTATTGTTGTGACTCCGACCCCCGAGGCTGACTTATCGGAGGGAGAAGGCTCCGAACATGAAGGAGAGGAGTTGGCCAGGCCTCCCTCTCCAGGACCCTCCTCTCTGGCAATGCCTCAGGTGTCTCCCGAAGGAGAAGAGATTGGCCAGGAGCCAGGTATCTCCTCGCAGTCGGACAGTGACGGAGATAAGTCTTGGCTGGATCCACGCCAGCGTCGGAGAGACAAGCGCACGCAGCAGAAAAGGAGGCATGCCAGAGATTAAGCTGAGTCACTGGACCACACCCCACAGGGGATAAAAGGGGGTGAGGTGGCCATTCAGACTCTGTGACGGACAAAACTAACTACTAGCGAGTCACATTGTATCTTTGAAACAACGTTATGTGCCTTGGATTTAATACGGACTGGACTTGACAATTCTTGAGCTGTGTGTATCTTGTTTGGGTTTATCTGTCGGAGGAACAACCCCTCCCTCTATGAGTAAAATTCTTGGCAAGCAGCTACTGGGTTGCTGCCAATCCTTTTATCGAAAAAATTTGTTGTCTGCCAGTTTTATTTAACCCCTGGCTGTCTGTTTGTGTGCATGTGTGAGACGGGGACAGAACAACTGTAAGAAATTGTTCTGACCCAGCTCTCCAAACATGACAAACTCTCTAAAGTTAACTCAAACATTCCTTTATTAGGAGCGCTAGCAGCCCCGGTAAAAAGTTTCTCTCTCACCACAGGCTGAAAAGGCCGTCCAGCCGGAAGATGAATAGTTGTTTGCCACATCTATTCATCTCCGCTCCCTGCCTTTTATCCCCAGAGCTAGGGTGGGGCTTCGCTAGCAGCGGTGGCTCTTCCTTCCCAAGGACCGGCCCATAGATTTCCACTGCTCTCCTCTCCTCTGCCTTCTGTGCATCTGTGCGTCAGGCACTGGACCCAGCCGTTCCTCCTCCTCCTCATCAGCCACCTCCAGACCTGGGAGCTGTTGACTCTCCATCTGAGGGCTGACGGACGGCCCAGTCTCCGCCTCTGTCTTTCTCTGACAGCTCCATTCCCGCTTCCCCCTCGGAGCTCTCTGGTTGCCTTGATGCCGACCCTGACTCCCACATCTCTTCCCCCTCGTCTGATTCAGCTAATGGAGGGGCCAGCAGCCGACAGGCCACAACAGAAATAATCAGAGTTGCCGGGTTCACACAACGCACCAAACCACACCGACTGAGATTAAAAATAATGAAATTTAGCAGGGCATGTCAAATTCAGGTGTATCTGATCTGGTCAAGCGACTCTTTGAGACAGAACTTCATGAAGAATGGAGCGGTTGATCCTTCACCCCATTCGTTTGCTCAGAAAGCGTCTGAGGCAAAACTCCCAAGTTTGTTTAGGACCTGTGTTAATAATGATAAATTAACCAAAAAAAAATTAAGTCTCTACCTCGTCCACAATCAGGGCCCAAAAATCCGAGGAAACAATGGCAGGTTCCAGAAATGCAATCCCCGTTTCCGTAACAGTTGCTGGGACAGTTCTCCACCGATTCTACGGAAAGAAGAAAAGAGGGGGGAAAAAGTGAAGATAATGTAGAAAAGGGCAAAGTTAAACCTCAAAGGACATTTGCTGATGGAACAGAGCAGTGGCGAAATCCAATTTTTTTTTACTACCGGTTCTGTGGGCGTGGCTTGGTGGGTGTGGCCTGGTGGGCGTGGCAGAGGAAGGATACTGCAAAATCTCCATTCCCACTCCACTCTAGGGGAAGGATATTGCAAAATCTCCATTCCCACCCTACTCTGGGGCCAGCCAGAGGTGGTGTTTGCCGATTCTCCGAACTACTCAAAATTTCTGCTACCGGTTCTCCGAACTGCTCAAAATTTCCGCTACCGGTTCTCCAGAACCTGTCAGAACCTGCTGGATTTCACCTCTGGAACAGAGGCATTGGCAATGGTCCTTCTCACGTCAGTCTCCCCTTGCCTGGATTACTGTACCTGACTCGATGTGGGGCTGCCCTTGGAGACTACACAGGAACTTTAGGGTATAAAACTTTAGCTGGTACAAAGTCTGAGTACTAACAGAAGAAGGCCCTAGTCTCGTCACGTCCTGGAGGATTCACTGGTTGCCAGTTTGCTTCTAGACCGGGGGTGTCCCTCCTAAGGAATCACTTACCCTCGGAATTAAGATCAGAAAAATATATTTTGAACACTTAAAAAGATCTGGCAGTTTAAGCAAGCAGTTGAGGATTTAGAAAGGATTAGGTTCCTGTGGTGTACCCAAGCGCTGTTTATTTTAATTTGCTTCACGCTATTACTGACGCCGAATTGATTATGGATTGTAAATTGTGAACTTTTATCGATTGGATGTGCTGTATTGCTTTTTGGTGAGCTCTCAGATTTGCCTAAACTAAGTGGCATAAAAGCGCCATAAATCAATAGAACAATTAAGAAGGAAAGAAGGGAAGGAAGTAATTACTATTTCACTTAAATTAAAATTTTTCAGTAGCATAAAACAAAGTTTTAAAAGCGACCCATTTTATAAATGTGTTGCGTGCAAAATGTATTTCACAAATATATATATATATATATATGTGTGTGTGTGTGTGTGTGTGTGTGTTAAAATACGTCCTAATGTTTTTCGATTCTTTTTGGTATTATTCCCCCCATTTTTTTCTGGAGAAAAAGAAAAGAATAGAAACCTGCTCCAGATTTTGGAAAGCATTCTATTTCTATTTACTTTGAGAGAAAACAAAGAAGAATAACGATGACAGATAATCAAAACTTATATGTGAGAAGTCAACAGATTAGCACTTTTACGTTTGTAATTATATTTTGTTTTATTTCAGCAAATCTCAACTTTCCACTAAATAATAATAATAATAATAATAATAATAATAATAATAATAATAAAAATAAAAATAAAAATAAAAATAAAAATTGCAGCTTCCTGCAATAAAACCAGCGGAACTGCAAAAGACTGCACTACTCGGAACATCGTACATCTTAAGAAGGTACTTGGTTGATCCCTAGGACGCTGGCAGCAACCCGTATCAACCATTAGCACCAGTCAATGATATTTGTGATGCATTTTTGAATGTTCACTTGACTTGAGTTTCATGTTTAATGAATAAAGATAATAATAAAAAAAACTCAGTCAACTGATCATTTAAAAATGTGTCACAAATACTATTGACTGGTGCTAATGGTTGATACCGGTTGCTGCCAACGTCCTGGGTATCAACCAAGTACCTTCTTAAGATGTACGATGTTCCGAGTAGCGCAGTTTTTTGCAGTTCCGCTGGTGTTATTGCAGGAAGCTGCAATTTCTTGATGTGTTTTGTAAAATTCTTGGACATGGTACCAAGTGCCCCGATGACAATGGGTATCACTATCACATGTTTCATCCATAGCTGTGTAGTTTCGATGACCAGGTCGTGATATTTTGTGATTTTTTTTCCAGTTCTTTTTCTTTGACTCTGGCATCTCCTGGTACAGCGATATCTATAAACTGTACACTTCGGTTTTCAACAACTGTGATATCTGGCGTGTTGTGTTCCAAATGACGATCCGTCTGTATTCGAAAGTCCCACAAGGTCTTCCCTGTCTCATTTTCGATAACTTTTTCCACTTTGTGCTCCCATGACTTTTCGAATACAGGTATGTCATATTTCTTACATAATGACCAGTGGATTAATTTAGCAACTCGATCGTGTCTAGCTTTGTAATCAGTTTGTGCGATTTTGCTGCATTCACATATTAAGCGTGAAGCAGTTTCAACTTTGTCGTTGCAAAGTCGGCAGTTTGGATTGTCAGTGGATTTTCGTATCTTCGCTTTCATGGCATTAGTTTATAGTGATTGTTCTTGAGCAATTTTATTATTTATTATTAATATTATTATAATAATAATAATAATTAATTATAATAATAATAATAATATATTAACATGATCCACGCTCTAAAGACCTTTTTATTTCACCAGGCGGGCCTGGCCTAACTTTCTCCCTCTTTTTAAACAATTTTTAAATAATTTTAATATTTTAATATTTTCAATATCTTTTAATTTTCAAAGTTTAAATCTGTTTTAAATTGATTGCGGTTTTAATCTGTCTGGGCCAAATTATTTAATTCGATTTTAGTTCTGTTTTTTAAATTTTGTATGTATGTATTTTATTGTTGGCTGTTCACCACCCTGAGTCCTTCGGGAGAAGGGCGGTATACAAATTAAATAAAAGTAAAGTAAAGTAAAGGAAGGAATATTTTTTTAAAACTGGTGAACCACCAAGGTGAATAAGCATGTCATTTTATGAGCCATCATAACTTACCTGTACAATGATTGTTTTTGCTTGATATTTTTATTTAACTCCAAACTTCCTCCAAGTATCAATTATTTCTCACCTTCAAAATATTTTTTTTTTAAAGGGAGGAAACTGCAAGTTAACACCCACAGTGTTCTTTTAATGGCAGCTCTAACTATTCATCCTTTTCTTGGCTTATTAACATTTGTCCCCCCTAAAAAAAATCAAAAGCCACGTTTGACAATTTCTTAAAATATTCATGAAGACAGGATGTACTCGGGTACGCGAGGTTGACAAAAATGACAAAACGGCAAGGCTGCCTTCGAATGTTATTGTTTCTGATCCTCCATAAATATACCGTACGTTGAATTAAAATGGGATGTAATTACAGGCGAGAAGTCTTAGCGTTGTTGGGCTCATTTTTCATTATGACAGGTTAGGAAGAACAGCTCCTTATATTTAAGATTTAAAAGTCTTTGAAGCAAGCAAACCATAGGTCAAAAGTATCTTGCCTCTTACCCAGTACATAAAAAGGAAATTGCTGATATATTTCGTGAAGGTGTCATAAATATAGTGGGCCTTTCTAAAACACGGATGGGGATGATTTAGGAGAAGGACTGGTCAGGCCTAAAAAGTCATTTCTTTTGTGAGGTCTCTAGATGCTTTCCGAGCTTGTTTTCTTGCAACATTTCATTACCTAACTAGGTAACGGTATCAGTGCTAGAAGAGAGTGGGGTTTGTGGAGTGGAAGATGGAGGAGGAGGAGGAGGACTGTCAGGTCCTAGATGCTCTCTGAGCTTGGTTGTTAGCTTGCAGATCAGTGGTGGATTGCTCCCGGTTCGCACCGGTTCGCAAGAATCAGTAGTAAAAATTTCTAGTAGTTCGGAGAACCAGTAATAACATTGGCTGGCCACACCCCCGAACCGGTCCCCGGCCCGGTCGCTGCTCGCTTACCCCGCCCACCTCATCAGAGGCTTTTTTTTTACTTTTAAAAGCATTTTTTCTACAACCTCTTCGGCCGAAAAAATGCTTTTAAAAGTAAAAAAAAAAGCCTCTGATGATCGCATGGCTCAGCTGGGATCGTCAGAGGCTTTTAAAAGCATTTTTTTCTGCAACCTCTTAAAGTTGTAGAAAAAATGCTTTTAAAAGTAAAAAAAAAAAAAGTTGGCCACGCCCACCCAGTCACATTAGCCCCACCAAGCCACACCCACAAAATAAGCCACGCCCACAGAACTGGTAGTAAAAAAATTTAGAACCCACCCCTGTTGCAGACGTTTCATTACCTAACTAGGTAATATCATCATTGCTAGAAGGACTGGGGTTTGTGGAAAGGAGGAGAAGGAGGAGGACAGGACTCCTTGGTGCTCTCTGAGCTTGGTTGTTTTCTTGCAGACCTTTCATTACCCAACTAGGTAACATCATCAGTGCTAGAAGAGAGTGTAGACTGCGGAAAACAGGAGGAGGAGGAGGAAGAGAAAGAGGAGGAGGAGGAGGAGGAAGGCTATGCAAATCTTTGCTAATAGGAAATTGGTCAATTCATGGATTATCCTCCATGACTAGACTCAAGTAGCTCAGAATTCCTAAAGTTTAGAAACTTCCTTCATCATCATTGTTGATTGCCTTCTGTCCTAGCCATAGTCTGATGAGACTCTTATGGTCCCCATCCTGAGTATTTTCTTCGGGAACCTACTTACGAAAAGCTAAAACTCGCTTAACCTGGCCTCAATTGACCTTCACTATCATTAACTCTTCAACCCAAGAAACTTTTAAACTAGACGTGTCAAGGATCCATCTCCCACTGAAGCACCCTCAACAATCCATTTGCACATAAATGCAAATTGTCATAAGTAGGAACAAATCTCCCAGATACTAAGCTGACCTCCAGGTCCCTCAATATAGCTGGCATTTGCTTCAGAGATACATGGCTGTCTTACTTTTAACCCAACCATCTCCTTTTTCTCCAAAAATAACCTTAAAGGTAAAGATTCCTTTTGCACATATGTGCTAGTCGTTCCCGACTCTAGGGGGCGGTGCTCATCTCCGTTTCAAAGCCAAAGAGCCAGCGTTGTCTGAAGACGTCTCCGTGGTCATGTGGCCGGCATGTCTCAACGCCAAAGGTGCACGGAACGCTGTTCCCTTCCCACCAAAGGGGGTCCCTATTTTTTCTACTTGCATTTTTTAACGTGCTTTCGAACTGCTAGGTTGGCAGAAGCTGGGACAAGTCACGGGAGCTCACCCTGTTACGCGGCACTGGGGA